GGGGGGGGGTCGTCGGAGGATGGCATCGGTGGCGGTGCCTCCGTCACCTTCACCTCTGGAGTGCTGCTGCTCGTACTAGCACCTGCGCTGAAATGGGTCTTGTTGCCCCTGCCCTTCTTCCCCTTCTTGGACTTGTGCAGATCCTTCTCCCGCTCGTAGCGGACTCTGCATCGTTGGTTGGGGTTAGGCCCCGACCGTGGGCGAAGCGAAGCACCATCGGGGGGGGGAGGGGGGCATGAAGCAAGTAATCATTAGAAGTATGAAAAACGCTGCACAACGAAAATGGCCTGCCAGAATCCTTGCAAAACAAAAAGACGGCCACGAATTAACCGGGGGGGGGGGGGGGGGGGGNGACAGTTGTAAGCACTGTGTAACTGCCTCGAGGGTGCTTGACCATTTCAACACAACGTTGTGCGATCATCCGCCTTGCGCGGAGTGAGGGTTCTCGACCCCGCACAACATGATCTACTCGACCACCATTTTGGTTACCGCCAAAAAGAAAAGAGGCAATAACAAAAAAACGGGGGGGGGGGGACTTACTTGCAGTTTTCCAGCAGCTCCCTCAGCATACGGCGCTCTTCAGTGATGTCCGAGGGGCTGAACAGCTCGGGCCTGAAGTGCGCGCTGAGTCGGTTCTTGACTTCCGCCACCGTTACCACCGGCCACTGCTGGCAGATCTCCTGAAAAGGGTCAACAACATGTGCGGGAAGGTATCAATGTCAAGACACCGTACACAGCACCAGTGAGTCAAAGAAAGCACGTCAAAACGAAGGCCTTCTGAAGGGCAACCACGCAGACCGCATTCAGGACGATGAATTGAGTTTATGACGAAACAACCACAGGGACGGGGATGACGCAGACCCTATATCCCTAACCCAACGCCCCCGATTGCATGCTTCATCCTAAGATGTATACATAATCGAACAACCCTGCAAGTCTGCTTGAACATGTGGCGTAGACCGTGAAGGGGTTGTCCCTCTGTCTCCCTGGATATTACCTTTGCGTAGCGAAGCACGTACACCCCGCAGTCGCAGCCGTTGATCTGCGTGGGCACTCGCGGGCGCACGAGGGGAAACACGTGCTGGTCGAACAACATCTCGCCTCGCCCGGTCTCCTTCCACTTCGCCTGCAGGTACCTGATGTACATACGTGTGTCCGATTGTTGTAGACAGAACGTGTCAGAGAAGGTTTCTCGATCGGTGGTTGATGCGCAGCGAGAGTGCACGAAAACGTGACCTCAGAGGCGCAAGAAGAACAACAACACCAACAACGACAGGTACGTTCTTTTGTAAAAATATCCGTCCCATACTAAAGTGTCCACTTCCTATATCCCCTCTCCGCCGTCCTCTTTCTCTGGTACCGACCATGACCGTGCGCCTCCCGTCTGTCTATCGATGTGTTTGTCAAAGTTCTCTCCACGTCTACCTGTAAAGGCGAAGATATTGGGTCACATTTGCGTACTCTCTCTCTCTCTCTCTCTCTCTCTCTCTCTCTCTCTCTCTCTCCCTTTTCTCCCAACTCACCGACGGAGATAGTCGTAGATCCTAGAGGCGTAGTGCATGTCGAGAGAGTCGAGGAAGAGCATGCACGGCTGGGCCTCGTCGCTCTGGTAGTCGGCTGCTTCCTTGTCAACCTAAATAAAAAAAACACGGAGGCGGTGGTGTTACAGTACCTTTGACTGACAACCCCCAAATCCAAGAATTGAGCAGGGGCGTGCTTAATGGCTGACTCTCTCAATCTCTTCCATTCTCAATGGTGAACCTCTTTCTTCATGGAACCAATCACGTGCTCACCCTATCCTCACATCGAACGGGGGGAACCAGCTGGGCATTCTGCGCACACTCTCCGGTCGAAACAAAAAACACAACAAAAACTGGACGTATCAACGACGCGCCTCGGTCCACTTGAGCCCCTTGGGCCTAAGGATTGACAAAAACTAGACGTGTGGCCGGCAGGCCTCAATACAAGTACACCCCTTTTGGCCACTAGAACGACATTTCGACAACAACTGCTTGCATACAGCAACAGCAGGAGCAGCACATTGTGGTTCGCCGAACCCATCCATCAATGTAATACCCGACGAACACGCCACACGCGAAAACCTAAATGTCCGTCTGCACGGCAGCACGTGGGCACCATCTCAAATCGCCGCCGTCTGCCCTTGTCTACCTGTGTGTCTCCGTGGCTGGGCGTGCTTGTGTCTGCCGGGCTGCTTCCGTCTACCATGATTCTGTCCTTGTCTATCTATGGGTCTCCCGCTTTTTGCATCTACCATGAGGCACCATGGATACCGTAGATACCTCGAGCTTGTCCAGGTTGCAGAGGCACGCAAGGCTCCAGTGCAAATCCTCCACGACCGGCACCAGCACGAACTTCTTCTTGAACAGATCCACGCTACGGGTCCAGTGCTGTACTTTACTGTACGCCGCCTGAAAAGACCGGCATGAGCGTAAAACAGCATAATAAACGTGAGTAGGGGGGTGAATACTGATTGCAAGCCATAGCGGTTGGACCACCGACTACGCATCCTCGAGAGGATGAAGTATTGTTCCTGCAGGGTCGATCGCCAATGGACAACTGTTCGCCCTACTTTGCGAGAATGGGCTCAACGTCTTCCCTATCCTGCCTGTAGGCCTTTCATCCCAGGATACGGGGGTGCACAAGGTCGGTCTTTGCTGTGGTAGTCCAACCATCGACCCTTGGGGAAGACGGGGGTCGCCTAGTGAAATTGCTCATTGCCCCTAGCCAAGGAATTACTCTCAAAATTCATTTCAGCTTGGTATCGTGGAGGGGGTCGTCAAGTTATGCGTGCCTTGTGTCCTGGTCAGTGCTCCATCGAGGAGCTAAGAACCCTGTAAATAGGTAAGCCGTGCTCAAAGTCCTCCCATGATCGGAAAAAACGGTGTGGGAATGACATAGACACAGATACCAGCACGAGAAGTAACACTGATGTCGCCTTCCCTGGCGGGTAGTGCGTTCGATGAAAAAAAAAAAAAGACACTTAACACCAGACACGTCTGCCTTGGTCAGCGGTCAGCTCGCTCGACGCCAACACACGTCACGCACGCACACAAGCAGGCTTACATCGAAGTCGTAGATCTCGCTCTCCGTGAGCTTCGTGAAGAAGTGCGAGGTAAAGACGTGCACCTTGCCGTCGTCCATGGACCCGCCCTTCGCCTTCGATATACTCGCACGAGCAGAGGCATCGCTACCACAAGGGGCGGTAGCGGCGACGTCGCCAGTGTCGGCCCCTTCGTCGTAATCCGCACCGCCGCCACGAGCCTCGTCCCCGCGTCCGGCGACACCATCGCCACTACCACCGCCACTACCCTCGCCGTCACCGCCAACACCGTTGGCCCACTCTCGAAACCCTTCTCGGTGCATGTGCCTGTGACGAAAACGGCAGCACGGGTAGGGAGATGACTTCTCACCGTCGCAACGTCCAAAAGCCAAAAAAAAGCTAAGGTACGTGGCATGTTGTAGAGTAAACTGTGTCACGGTGGGTATCTCCTTCCTGTGTGACCGTGGCTGACACGACAAACATGCACCGAAACGTGTTAGACTGGTACCAGATGGGATGGAAACAACGCAGACACGTGGTGGATGGTTCGCGTGTACACGGCGTCTTGAGCTTCCCGGTCGACGAGGGAAACATGAGCCGTTGATTTCGACTCCAAGGGGCCACGGCAACAAGCTCCGTCGAAAGCAGGGGCGGAAAACAAGAAAACACACAAAAGTCCTGTGTGACCTCGGCCGCGCGTCCACAGAAAAGGTGCACTATCACCCGTCAGAAAATATCGGATATCGGCGACAAAAACAACAGCAGCCACCACAACACGGAAAACAGTGGGGGGTGGGGATACTCAACGTCATAACGTCATGCACCTCCCGATTTTGGTCTCAACCTTTATTTTGGGCAGTTTTTGTGCGGTGGCTGCGGGGGGCGGACTGACTAAATAGGGCCACCCATGGCGCGCTCAGATACACCAATCAGAAGGCCCATCTCGGTGTAACTACAACGAACACCAGTAATGCACAACATCTATGACCCGACAGGATACCATCGGTCGTACCGAGCGCAGGCGAGGTGTTGGACTCGCCGAAACGGCCACGACCAGAGAAAACAACACAACGAGCTTGCGGCGACAACGCCAGCAAGGCCAAGGGGAGCCTCATGGGGTTCGGACTAGAGCTAGGACTACTACGGCCAGGTTCATGCCTAGGACTCACGGGTAGCCAAAGGCTAGCTAGCAAGGGGTGGGGCTTAGGTATTGGACTACAGGGTTGGGGCTAGAGCCAGGATTGGGTCCAAGTTCATGCCTAGGTCGTAACGTTAGCGTAGGCTTGGAAATGGGGGGTCTAGACTGATGGGAAGGGCTAGGCTTAGGCTTGGAAACTGGAGATCAAGCCTTGGGGCAAGGGCTAGGCGCACGCACGGCTGCGCGCTTGTGGCGCTAAACACGCGCTGTCCAAACTATAACTCACTTGAGGTACAGGTCGACGAGGTTGTCGTTCAAGAACTCTCCCTCCTGGGTGCGGGCCTCGTCCAGGCTGTTGATGGCGACCCTATCGCTCGCCGACACCTCCGGGGGGTAGTGGAAGAGCACCTTGCCGAATTCGTCGTTGCCGCCGCCGCCGGAACGGAGCGTTCTCCTGTATCATTTTCGTCGGAACGAAAGATGTTCGTCAATAACAAGCGCGGAGTGTGGGCCTGCATATATTCCCAAACACCACAAATCAACAGTGGGTGGTGATGGGATGGGGGAATGACCAGAAGACACAAAGCTGAAGAAATGAAGTTAGCACATTGGCATACGCCCATGCCAACCGCTTTCGCCGATGGGCTGCAACATCACCATCTCGCTACCCCCACGACGAGTGAGTATTCATGTGCGCCCATCACCCGACGAAACCACAACCCCTTTCCACAACAGTAGCACCAGCAGCAGCAACAATGACACAGCAACAACTAAAACCTCTACAACTCGCCTGGTGCGCATGCTGCGTCCGACCTCCTTGTCCTCCTCGGTCTCTCTCCTATGTCTCTCCAGGGTTAACCTTAGGATCCTAGGTAGCTCTCCCTTCATGTCGATGTCCACTTGCACCGGTTCTCTTTTCTTCCCCGACTCGAAGTTGGTCATCGCACTAAGGATGGACTAATACATACAACGATTATATAACGTTGGATACAACGTTGGTAAGGGTTAACGTTAGTCACGGCTGTAGTGTTAGCGTCCCATAAAACATATATTAAGGTTGGTAAGGGTTAACATTCGTAAGGGTAATAGCGGTCAAGGTTAACAGAAACGTTGGCGCTAGGCTTAGCGTTAGATGTGGTGAAATTCCACACATGAGGCATGCAAGGCGGGCAGGGTGAGCGTTAGGGTTAGCGGCTGTGTGATGCCACATACACATGACGCATGTAGGAACCCACGGCACCACGCACAACAACAACCGCAAATGCATACCGTAAATGACACAAGATAACACACCCCCTGGACCGATATTCAAATCTCGATTTCTCGACAGCAGAAAGAGTTACAGCGTCGAAAACGGTGGAGTTGAAGCTGCGTCGTCCAGAGCTTTCCGAAAATGTATTGTTTCATTTATGCATCTTCTTCGTCGTCGCATAATCGAGCATTGACAATTGGTCCAGGGGGTGTCTTATCTTGTGTCAAATACGGTAGGTGCGGGCAGCGAGGTGCCACCACCGCCAAGTGTCGGCAGATTTGTCCCTGCCCAACCCACCAAATGATAAGAACGCAAAATGATACAAAGAAACTCACGTTCAAATCCATACGAGAGGGGGGGGCAAAAGGAAGCAACATGGGTTGTGGTAGAGATTGCGGAGACCATCGAACTAGTGCCCAGCCGGCGCGGTGCCCCCGATGAAAAATTACAGAAAAAAAAAAGTACAGCGAGGATACGCGGTTCCCTCTTGCCATGTTCACCCGGAAAAGGCGAAAAAGCAGTGACTGCTGTGCTTCCCGATCTGGCAAGACCTCTCTCTCTGTCTCTCGTCCCTGTCACAGCAGTATTTTGTGGTCCTTGCGTCAAGGCCGCCAAATATAAGGCCAGTCGCCCTGTTTAAGGGCGGTGAAGTAGCGTGATATGGGTGGAATCATCAAATTCTCTCACACTCTCCGTTGCGCCGGGTGCCGCCCGGTAACTGCCTCCCACATACAGTGGCTACCGCAGTACACTGCTAACAAAAGTATGCAGAATACGCCACGGGGAACACCATTGATTTCAACCAATACTCCTGTTGCATACCATGGTAAAACCCAGCGTCCGCTGGCATGTGATCCGCCGTCGCGTGCGACAGCACAAAGGAAAAAAAAAAGGAGAAAAAAAAAAAACAGCTCCTACCGGCCTGTGCTGGAGAAAATCATGGTCCGGCGGCAAGAAAACCGTGATCAGCCCCTGTGCACCTGTCAAACGTAGTCACCACATAGATTTGCCGCAAACTTATTTGGTGCTGTCAAGCAGACGTGTGCGGTCGCAGGATTTCGGCAAAAAAAATGATGACAAGTCAGATCCCAGGGGGTGATGAAACTTGCGGTCTTTTCCGCCGAGTTTTGAGCAAATCGTTGTGAATCAGGCGCGCGAAACGCGTCTGTTTGCTTCTCTCTGTCTCTGTAGGTCTCTGCTCTCTTTGTCGCCCCTCCTGGGCCTTCTAAGGATTCACACAACCTCCCCGGCCTCCTAAAGACGTGTTGGTGACCCAGAACATTTCCCTCTGACATTCTGTCTCTCTCCGCCTCTGTCTCTGTCTCTGTCTCTGTCTCTCTGTCTCCCTCCCTCCCTCCCTCCCTCCCTTGCGTCTTCCTCTGCACTGACCTTTGTCTACCGGGTCGTAGCGTCGGCAGTAGGAGCGGTCCTTCGCAATACTCCCCTCGGGGTTCGTCTTGATCGTGATGAAAGCCTTCGTCCCCTCACCCCCCTCGCAGAACCTGTTGTTGCACGTTCCGGGCCCCGTCATGCCAACCCAAGGCAACCCGAGCCAGGCAGGGGTATCCGAAGATAAGTGAGGGGGGGTAGAGAGGGGGTTGTGAATGAGCATAACGGTAAGGTAGAGCCAC